TAGTGGTGTTCCTACGGTCGTATCGCTGGTTCAACCGAATCGAACCCATCTGGGTAATTCTGTAATCTAATCCGTGGATTTCCATATCCTAACTGCTACACCCGAACTGGTGGGTACTCCTGTTCCTTCCGCGTCCTAATAACGCGCTCATGCTATCTACCAACCTAGTGAATGCTATCGCTACACCCGCAGACTTACAACACTCTAGCATTATCTTCCAACCCTTGTGAATGCTACGGCTACACCCGCAGACTTACAACACTTCCCACACCACCTGACCGCTAGTGAATGCTACGGCTACACTCGCTATCTTAGAACACTATCCATACTATCTGATCGCTAGTGAATGCTACGGCTACTCCCGCAGTCTTACAACACTTTCTATACTACCTGATCGCTAGTGAATGCTATGGCTACCCCCGCAGTCTTACAACACTTTCCATATCGGTCGAAAACGCACTCGACCTAACACACAACTGAACTTGAGTCCTAATTGGAGCTCTAACCTGGTTCCCGAAACCTACTATCTGAGATTCTCGAAGGCTGCCTGCCTCTCAGGCCCCCAGCGAAAGGCCATCGACTTCTTGGTCAGTCGGGTCAAAGGAACCTCAATCTGGGAGAAGTCCCGTATACATCTCCGGTAATAACCCGCTAGACCCAGGAAACTCCTAATCTCAGTTGGAGACCTCGGAATCTCCCACTGCATCATGACATCTATCTTGGCCGGATCGACCAAAATACCCTTCTGGTTGACAAGGTGCCCAAGAGATTGCACCTCGCGCAACCAGAACTCATATTTGGAGAACTTTACAAAAAGTCTCTCCCCAACTTATATTCGACTAAGTCTTCACGGTACGTGAGAATTGAAGGATTCCCAATCCTTCTTACTTCCTAATAGTCCATTGCCGACAATCTGAGCTTACCAATGCTAATGATCAATTACAAGTCAAACCTTAAGATCGTCCATCCTCTGAAATCTTGAAGAGTACTCTTGAAATCTGGTCTAGTCTGACACCTCAGTCCATCTCCCATGCTGTCAACTGAAGGCCTTAATCTTCACTCTGGCTAACGAATCATCGTTCCCACCCCTAATCTCGCAGCACTATTGAACTCTGACCGAAAACAACCCATGCGAGAAATGCAGTTCTCTTGAACATCCAATGACCGAATACCCATGCGTCTAACACTCGAAACTGACTCCACTATCTTCATGCTACCAGTCCTTCCCTAGCAATGGTATTGCCTTGAACTCCAACGTTCATCCATAGACAATTGTCGACCATACCTGAACCATTATAGAATCACCGAACGTTGACTTCACTGGAGAACTATCTCTCTAACCCTGACCGAATATCCTCTAAATAATACCCCGCACAGATCCTGACGAAGACCCGGAATGATAATGGTACATGCGGAACCCACTCCACAAGATGCGTCCCTCTGTGGGTTCATCAAGGACTTTTCGGCATGTAGGTTGGCATATATGATCTTGGTTAACCCAAACACTAGCAGGAAACCGTCCCGAGATCAGACTTATCCAAACTCACTCACAATTCCAAAGCGATACCTATTCCCAACATCCATCTAGCAGCAGTAGAAGATGACATACCCGCAACATTTGGAGGAATCCTGATCACCTTTTGCTGACATGGCCAACCCAACTACCCTTGTAGCAGCCTAAACCCTTGGAATGTCAAAATCCCTTGTGTACTTTCCCGCACGTGCTTCACTGACTCCGGCCCTGCTAGCCTTTTATCCGATGATTGGAAATCATGGGTCTCTCTCCGGGACTCTCTACTATATGCACTTGGCACGACCCTCTCTTCTCACAGTGCTCCACATTGATCTCACATCCTCGGACTTTGGAAGTCATCTCCTTCAAGGTCTGACACCCTGTCATGCTCACTAGTTCACTTGCCAATGGATGAGCTGCAACAACTGGAACATCCTCTGTCCCCAAACCGGGTCACAAAATCCTCCCCGAAGCTCCTCAGATTCTCTAAGACTCTCACCAATTCGAGTATGGATCCTGTGCTTTCAGTAGTACGAGCCCAATACTACCTTCTACACCTATCCATACTTTGCTCAGCAATCCTCCCGAATCCTCTAAGTCACATCCTCAAACTGGTATACCCAAGTCTCACTGAACCTCACTACTAACCTACTGAAACATATCCTAGGCTTTCCTAGGTTCCCAAACCCACCCAGTCCTCAGCTGCTGAAAGATTCCCAGTAATGTCAACTAGCTGCCTCATGAATATAGCCACATGCAACAGAGATCAGATAATCCTTCGAGTAAAAGACCCATCCCTAGAACGGTTGGACTCAAACAAGAGCTGCACAATAGGGTCAAATCTATCACGCTAAGATTATCCAGCATGTGCCACATGTGACTTAGCATATTCACTTAATAACTAGCTCACATTACTAAGAGTCCCACAACGTACAAAGCAAGCAGCATTCAGACAATGAAAAATCTAACCATCATATTCAAATCAAACCATTCTATCCTCTAATCAGGAATCTGTACATAAAATTCAAAGGCTCATACAATCAGGCATAACCTAAACACGCTATCCTATTACTGACTGATCAGTACTAACATGCAAGTCTACAAGCATATAAGGCATCATCCTAGATCCTCAACCCTAATCTAGCATGCAGTTCTCATAATCATATCATACCATGTATGGTTATCTTGGGGAAAACTTACATGAGCTCGGCTGATTGCACGCATCACACACCTTGTTCTTTTCAAAGTTCTTTTCTCTTTTCAAATTCTTTTCTCTTTTCAAATTCTTTTCAAAATTCTTTTAAGAAAATGATTTTTGTTTTGAAAATTTTCATACCAAGTCCTTAGTTTAAGTCCAGACACACCCGAGAGTGTGCCCGAATTTGTCAAACCAAGGCTCTGATACCAACTTGTAACATCCCAAAATTCAAGGCTAAAAATTTCATTTTGAAATAAGTTATTATAAAACCAACAGTATAAAAAATACATCCATAATAACATATCATGTCAAAACCAATACGTCAATAATCAAAGCAGCTCATCATAAAACAATATTAGAGTATAATCCCAAGGATAGAATAATATCAGAGTGTAATCCCAAAAATCTCATGTGCGGAAAACATAGTGTGATGCGCTGCGATCGAGCCGGCTCCTTTCGTTTGAAAACGTAGTACCTGAAACCAAAACTGAAAACCATAAGCACGAAGCTTAGTGAGTTCCCCCCATCGTACCACATAACATACAACACGCATACTGCCAAGCATATCCGGGTGTTAGCCTACCCCTTCGGTATCTTTCAACCGGTATCTGGGGACTGTTTCACCCCTAGCACTACCACATAATAATATAGCATAACATACATAAATATACTGTCAGGCATATCTGGGTGCCCGACCTACCCCTTCGGTATCTTTCAACCGATATCCGGGAGCTAACCTCCCCTTCGGTATCTTTCAATCGGTAACTGGGAGCTGACCTCCCCTTCGATATCTTTCAACCGGTAGCCGGGAGCTAACCTCCCCTTCGGTATCTTTAAACTGGTAACTGGGAGCTGACCTCCCCTTCGGTATCTTTCAACCGGTAGCCCGGATCTAACCTCCCCTTCGGCATCTTTCAACCGGTAGCCGGGGACTATTTCACCCCTACCACTAACACATAATAACGTAACATAATGTACTACTAGACATGCATGGGTTCTGAAGACCCCTTCGGTATCTTCAACTGGTACCCGAGGACTATTGCACCCCTACTACTACTAACTTGTATCACACGACATCCTAGCATACAAACATAACAGATAATGGCATACCAGATAATTATCACAAAGACAATCATCTAAAAACAACTCCTACTAGTGGGCCGACATTGTGGCCATAGACCCACTTCTACTGGAAGGTAACTCACCTCACACTGCTGAAGTCCCACAGACACAACCCCAGCTACTGGATGACAGATTCCCGAACTGTAAATATCAAAACATCACCCAATTAATAATTGGGTCCCAACACATAACCATAAGTTCTTGGAGTAACAGGCTACATTACCCTATCTTGGCTTGATTCAAGCCTAAGGCCCAATCCAAAGGCCCAAAAGTGAAACTAGGAATCAAAGCCCAACATATGGCCCAATTTTCCAAATTGGGCCCAAACCTTTACATGGTCTTATTCAAAGGCCTAGCCATTTAGTCCAGTCCAAAGATTTGGCATTTCTAATGGCCCAATATCTCAGAATCGTAAAGGCCCAAACTATGGCTCAATTTTCTAAATTGGGCCCAAACCCTCATATGCGCCTTACCCTAAAGCCCATCAACATATTCTAGTCCATATGATTATTCTTGGACGGTTCATTAATAACCCAATTACCAAAGCCCAATGGAAAGGCCCAACTCAGGGCCCATGTGAAATTAGGGTTTCACATAAAATGACAATTAGGGTTAAGTGTTTCTCACTTAACCCATTAAGGACTTAATTCATTAAGTCCATCACTCTTCTAGATAAATCATATGGTGTGATTGGGTGTAATTCACAGTTCCATTCCAATGGCCCAAATGTGGGTCCCAATAAGTCTAAGGCCCATAAATCCAATATTAGGGTTTTCTAAACCCTAATTAGGGTTTCCCACCCAATCATAGCCTAATAGGCCCAAAACTAAATCTTTAAGCTCATTAGGGTTTCATTAGGCCAATTAGGGTTTCACTAATTGGGCACCACCCACTACCACTTCGGGTAGTGGTGGTCAATGGCGGCTCACGGTGGTGGTTATGGTTCTTTTCATTACTCTTTTTGCTAATTACAATTACAATGCTTTAATCCAAAAATAAACACACATACTAACTAACATAAACACACACACACACACACTGCCACCCTTGTCGTGGCCGGTGGTGGTACATGGCGGCAACCACTACCTCATGGTGGTGGTGGTGGCTTTTCCGGCCAAATAAACACCCACACACAACCATTGAACTTGTAACAGCAGCACCCGGACACTAACACAAGTAACATCCCGGAAACACACCCAACATGGCTGCCTTTAAAGTGGCAGCAGCAGTCGGAACACGACAACAACTCTTCAGCCTCTCGGAGTGACGACGACAGCGGCCATCGGCACCAAAAGATGGAGGCGAGGAATGCGCACAGACTCCGACAGGGAAAACAACATTAGACGTCATGATTCTCCTTTCAGCCTCTTCTGCTACAACATCCATCAACCGGCTCGCCGGTCCTTCAATCATCGACATCTGCAGCAGCGACGTGTGGCATTGCGATGGCGAAGGAGCGGCAGTAGCAGGCTCGGCAATACGGCAGGACAGCGACGACAATGGCTCTAACATCCGGAGATGACGACTACGATCTACTTCCCTTCGTTAACGACTGAATAACGACATCACACGATGGTCTCCGTCTTCAGCAACGACGGAAAGGCAAAATGGTGTTTGCAGTGAGAGAGACTCTGCGTAAGAGAGACTCTGCATAGTACAAAAAGCTCAGTATTCATGAGAGGCAATTCTATAGATTCCCTAAGTTCACGAATCAGATCTGATAGCCCTCCAACAGCAGAGTAGCTAACATTCCCAGGATCTTCATGAAGCATGTTATAAACAACTGGATCAACCTAGAAAAATATGGTATAGTCAAAACATGTGAAAAAAAAGGTTGATATTAAAGTTATTTAGCATATATAATATAATATAATATACTAACTTCACGGGGGTGTGCTCGCATAATTGTGAGAATTGTCATATCAAGAACCACTCTAGTGCCAACTGTCAGTTTTTCCTTGTTCACTTTACTTCGGCACCCAACTACATACCTTGGACCACTACTGGCTTTAACTATCACTGAACAACGACATCACACGATGGTCTCCGTCTTCAGCAAGAGAGAATTGGGTGGCGGCCGGTGGTGGGAGGCATAAGGGGGAGGTGACGGCTGTAACATGGATTAGGGTTAGGGTTTGGACGGATGATGCTTATATATCCGATGCCCTACAAGCTTCTCTCCATAATTCCATCTTTGGTACCTCTCCTCCCTTTTTCTTTCAAAATGAGTCTGAAATTTACCTTTTTAACCCTAGCCTTCCAAAAACCCTTCAACTTAAGTCCCACATTTTACTCTGTAGCCCTCAGCATTAAAATCCATTACAATTTAGGTACAATATTTAACAATTACACCCCTGCTTCCATAATTCCTTTCAAATTCGATCCCTAAGTCACCAAACAGCCCCTTTGGCCCAAAATCTCTTCGAATGAAGTCCCAAAAGTTACCATTTAGTCCTTGCTTTCAATAATACTTACAAAACCAAATCCGTAACTTACACTTTTAACCCTCAACTTCTAAATTATGCCAGTTAACTCGTCGAAATCAACACCCTGCTATATAATTATTGATTTTAGGGCTACAATACATTCATTAATTTTATTAATTAATTTATTTAATAAACGGGGTGTTACATCCCCACTTTCCTTTAAATAACTTAAAATTAGGGTTATCACGACACAGGTTCGCCACATCGTGGCCAATAGATGTTGAGTCGTTGTTATCGTTAAATGATCCGGAAATCTTCCAGCATTTCCACATCATGGGATGCCTTCACCACGACGTGGTCACTTCCAAAGTTCAAGTAAAAAATTAGAATTAATTACCTCAAAGAATCCATATGTTATGACTCTCCCCCACCTCAATCAGACTTCGTCCTTGATTTCTGGTGGTGGAAACAACTCAAGGTAATGCTCCCGCATCTCATCCTCGGGCCCCCATATACACTCTGACCCCTTGCAGTGTTGCCATTGCACCTTCATCAGGCTCACAACTTTGCTCTGCAAGGTCTTCATCTTCTTATCTAAAATCAAGATTATTCTCTCTATATAGTTCAGGCGATCGTCCACCTGAATGTTCTCTAAAGGAACCATTGCAAAATCATCAACCATACACTTTCGCAGTTGAGAGACGTGAAAACTGTTGTTGATCTGACTAAGCTCTTCGGGAAGCTCCAACCGATATGCAACCCTGACCACTTGGGTAATAACCCTGAAAGGACCAATATATCTGGGGCCCAACTTCATCCGTTTCCTGAACAAAATGACACCTTTCCAGGCTGACACCTTCAGGAGTAGCATATCTCCGACCAGAAACTCCAAATCAGATTGGCGCCTATCTACACAGCTCTTCCGTCGACTTTGTGAGGTCTGCAATCACCCACACACCTGTTGGATTAACTTGGTAGTCTCGAGCACCACCTCTATGCTATCTATGACTTGCTGACCGACCTCGCCCCAACAAATCGGGTTCCGACATTTCCTCTCGTAGAGCATCTCAAAAAGGAGGTCGATTGATGCTGGTGTGGTAGTTGTTGTTGTTTTAAGAAACTCTGCCCATGCGAGATAGGTATCCCATCTACTGATAAAATCCAACACACAAGACCGAAGCATATCCTCCAAAGTCTGGATAGCCCACTTGCTCTGTCCATCGGTCTGTGGATGAAAAGTCGTGCTGAAGTGCAGACGAGTACCCAACTCCTCATGAAATATCTTCCAAAATATGGGAGTGAAGCGTACATCTCGATCTGAGACTATGGATATCGGAAGCCCATGCCATTCCATAACCTCTCAGATATAAATGTATGTCAACTTCTCCGCAGAAATGTGTTGAGATAGGTGTCTAAGCCCATAACTATAATTGGTAGGCACTTGACCTGAGAGTAGCATGGTCCTTTTGGGTTGCCTTAATCAGAACAATCTGATAGGATGGACATTTGAGAAAGAGGTTATTTATGATTTATTAATATATTACAAGTATTATATATTAATATGGAATCATGTTATTTTAATTAGTATTGATGAAGAATTAATTTGGAATTAATTTAGTGATCAAAGAGACGAATTAAATTAACGGGGACTGATTATGTAAATCAATGATATATATATATATATATATATATATATATATATATATATATATATATATATATATATTATATATATATATATATATATATATATATATATATATATGGTTTGGGCTATTAATCAATGATGGGCTAAGTTTATGTAAGTTTCCATGAAGAGTTAGCCCACATGAGATATGAATCATGACCCAAGTGTATGGATTAGGGTTTACTGTAATGCCCGTAGATCCGGGCTAGTCAATTTAGAGATAATAGGGGTCGAAAATGACTTTTCGACAGAAGATTATTTAGAATAAATAATCTTAACCAAGTTGTAGTATATGTTACAAGGGTTTCGTATATATAAAGAACGCCGAAATCCGAGTTATAACGAAGAAGTTATGGTCCGTCGAAGTTTTACGGCAAAAACCGGCACGACACCGGGAAGCGTAAATATTGAATTTACGATAGAGCGAATATTAACCTTATCAATCTATACGAAAGTCGTAGAATACGTTAAACCAAGAGCGTGCATAAAAAGAACGCCCAAAATCTTACTTCCTATGAGGAAGTTATGATTTTTCGAAGTTTCGGCTTTGCAGTGTACAGCCCGAAGTTCGAATATTAGAGAGAGCGGTTTAGCCGACACAACCTAAACGAGAATCGAAGATCTCGTTAATAGTAGCGTGACCATAAAAAGACAGACGAAAACGGACGTCGAATGAAGAAGTTATGAATTTTTAACGGACCAATCCTGTCCCCGCCTGTTAAAAATATAACTTTTAAAATCTATTCAAAATTAGCCGACGGAGTCTAAACGAAAGTTGTAGAGTACGTTCCCGCCTATGCGTGGATATAAAGAACGTCGAAAACGGAGCTTGTATGCGAAAGTTATGATTTTTAGAAGTCGAAAAGTAAATTGCGAGATCTGGTGCGAAAATGATGACGTGGCCGAATCATAGCCGTCTGATGCTGATCACACGGCTCGCTTCGGATGGAGACACATCGCCTTCGGTACGCCCAGCGTCCGAGATCGTAACGCGCCGCGTACAGCTGCCCAATGCGGTTCCGAGACGTCCACGATGACCCACCCCATTCGCGACACGCGTTGTACGACCGAGGTTACGCCCAGCGTACGTCCGAGGACCAGGCTATATAAGGGCTGCAAGGGCTGCCATATTTTCTCATAAATTCACCACAACTTTCTCTCTCTACTTTCTCTCACTACCCCCCAAACCCCCCTAAACCCTAGGTAAACCCCCTAGCACCCAAAGGAAGCCCCGAGGCTCCTGGAGTCCCGGGAAAAAGGGTCTTTTGGTTCGGAAACGCAGCTCCAAGCAAAGCCCGGTCTTCGAGAAAACCTGCTGTAAGTGAGCTACGCCTACGCTATTTTTAATATAGCGTCTAATTAATTATAGTAACATTATTAGGACCTTAAAATAATTATTTGGGCTATTATTATGAGTTATATAAGAGTGTTTCTTAACGCTTATATAATAGTAATAATAGCTAGACTATTAATTAGTCGCGGTTAACATTAGACTAAACTCTAGTCGTATTGATACTAGGTTTTGTCAAGGGAAAATTGTTCTGAGATAACGAAGTGCTGTCCGAGTACCGAGTCACTACCTTTTCAGGTGAGTGCATAGTTACTTTCATCTCACACATAGATATGAAGTATTTAATATAAATTACATGCTATGTGTGCATATTGTCTGTATACTTGCCGTCTATGTTGGGTGAAAGATTTTTATACATGTTTTAAATGATTTAAACTGTATATGTATTTTATATCTACAAAATGTGTTGGGTAAAATATGGGTAGATGAAATAGTTGCAGTGTGACAAAAACAAAATGATGAGAGGTGATATAGACCACGAGATAAGGGTGAGAGGTGAACCATGAGAGAAGCCTTTTACCCAAGTGTTGGCCCTGTCATCTAGCAGAGTATGGATGACAAGCATGGACTATTCTATACAGTCCAGTGGAACACTAGCAGGCTCGCAACCTGTAGGTGTATTTGAATTGTGTATTCACCAGCTGTACTCTAAAAACCCATTGACACGTATTGCGAGTGGATTCTCGGAAACGATAATGTCGATAAACGAGATAACCCTAGCGAATATGAGACTTAGTGCCTAAACCCTGACGACTATGCGACATAGTGCATGTTGTATAAACCCTGGCGACTATGAGACTTAGTGCCTATATCTTGGCGACTATGCGACTTAGTGCCTGTAGAGTAAACCCTGTCAACGATGGATTTCGTGCCCATTCCTTAGGATGATCCTTAGGAATGAATGAACGAGGAATAGTTGATTCTTTGGGTAGATCCTTAAGAGTAAAGAAGATAATGGGGATGGGTAATTGGGTTGATTGTTTGATGTTTAAACATAATAATTATATTCTTGTGGGTTGAAAACCCTATGTACTCACCAGGTTTCCCA